ATTTTGCCTTAAAATTTCCCAGGCTAGGAGGTTTTATATTAAAATTTTCTCTGATAATGCCTAAGGTAACTTTTACCTCTTAGAAACAGAGATTTCTTATTAATGTAACAGAAGAAGATTTACTTTTAGTGTTGAATTTATTTTTAAACAAAAACAGTATTCCTGGAGAAGAGGCAAAAATGATCTTTAAAGGGTTTCAGGGGAAGAGTCTGACAACATATGGGTAAAATCAAGCTACAATCTTCTCATAAAATTGCATTCTTGAGCCTTTTTAATCTTTTCCATTCATTTTTTATAATAGTTGACATTAAAGACATGAAATATGTCAAAAGGCAACAAGAAATCAGGTTTAGATAGCCTCCTCTGGACCCAGCACCCATACTGGATTTGAGTGTGCTTTCCCAAGCTGCTCTGCATGCGCTGATGAGAACAGGAGCTTTGGGAATGACAGAGTTCTCCTGGGCTCAGGAGCAGCTGAATAAACGCATGCTCACAAACCTCAAAAGGAAAATCTACAAAGGGCATTCATGGCTATAAAAGATTCATCCACATCTTCTAAGTGCTTTCTAGATTTTAGGCAAAGGTTTCATTCTCTCACTTTGTAAATCAGACTAACATCAGGATTCCCTTCAAGATCAATGATTTTAGTACTTCCTGTTTGATACAAGGACTTCACAGTTAGTATCTTTGAGCATAATTACAACCTAAACATGTCTTTCGAAGTCAATCCAAAACAAAACACACACACACAAAAAAACCCACACACACTAATTTACATTCAGTGTAAACTGATCAAAATTGCTTTAGAATTGTTTGTTTACTTGCCTTAGTGCAACTTTCTCCCCAGTTAAATTATAAGCTCCTTGTGTGTTTATAAATACTTTATCTTTACTTTCTTGATAATGCCTAACACAATGTCTCACTCACATATGAGCCTTGAAAGAAATATGTCATTTCACCATAATTAACTGTATTTAATTTTTTCTGAAAATGCAGATTCTGGAATTGTCTAGCATTTGTTGCTTTTCTTATGGTGTTTACTTTTATTGGACTTCTAATTCCTGCACATACGTATTTATATGTATCATTTTCTGATATATACTATTCATTAAATATCTACTTCACACTTATTGTTTTAAGGTAAGAACCTCATTTAAAGTTTTCTGTTTATAAAACACTGAATAAACCTGAAGATATTCTTTTAAATAACAAAAATGTTTCATTCTTTAGAATGAAAATTTGATTCATAAACTTTCCAAAGAATTATCAGCAAATTAGTGCTTAGCTGTGCTTTTCTGTTTGTTTTGTTTTTAGTTTTTAACTTCATTTTAAAGCAATGCAAGATCTCTGTAAGATTTTTTAAGATTAGAAAAAAAAAATTATAATTTTGCTACCTAGAGGCAACCCTATTAACATTTTGTTTCATTTCATCCACTAGTTTTTCGTTTTCTTTGAGGGTTCATGAAGTTAAACACCTATCATAAATTTTATAAAAAAGATGTTCTTACATTATTTGCTTAATATTTCATAACAAATAATTTCCTAGTAATCATAGTTGGAAAGAGGTTTCTAAAAACATAAGGAAGCTCTCTTTGTAAATGTCCTTTTTGCTCAAATAATTTTTGTTGGCCCTTTTCCAGTATAAAGAGTCAGAAAAAGAGTCTGCCTATGTAGGTGAAAAGGAGATACAGAGAGAGAAAAACCAGTATAACTAGAACCCCATCATTCAAACTGTTAACATTCTACTTCCGTTTAGGAAAATCAGTTGGGAGTTGATATCAAATTGGCTAGTGCCAAGTAAATGAAAATTAGTCCCAAATTATCAGATACAATTAGTATAAAATATAGGAATGATATATAAGTGAAAAAAGAAATATAAATGAGTTGACCAATATTGTACAGATTCAGTAAGATTTAAGTTTGCAAAGAAAAAAAAAAAAGAGAACTTCTGTCCCTACTACTTTTTCATTTAATTTACTTTTATTTCTTTTGGGATCCCAGAACAGAATATCCTATACAATAAAAGACTAATATGCAAATTAACCAAATGGCAGAACAACCTGTTGCTATGACATGCACTGACCACCAGGGGGCAGACGCTCAATGCAGGAGCTGCCCCCTGGTGGTCAATGCGCTCCCACAGGGGAGATGTGGGACTGCTGACTTAGGCTCACTCCCGAGGGCTCCAGGACTACAAGAGGGGCACAGGCTGGGCTAAGGGACCCAAGCCACCAAGTGCATGAATTTTGTACACCAGGCCTCTAGTATATAAATAATTTACAAAACACCTCAAACTTTTTCTTTTCTGCTTGAAAAAGCACCACTAATAGTGATGTGAAATTTCCTATTGCTCCCCCTACAGGAAGAAACAAAGATGAATGGCATTTTCTTGGCATGTCTCTCTATGGAATGCCCTTTGGCCTTCCTTTGATACTATGTACTTGAAAGATGTCTCATTTGTTTTAGAGTTGGCAATTCCACAGGGAATAGATGGGAAGGAATAGAGTAGGGTGAAATGAAAAGAACTTTCTATTATAAGAATAACTTTTAAAAATTTGTTTTGTCTTTTAGACTTCTGGTCTTCCTAATATTGAGTCCTCTTCTGTCTCGACTTGGTGATGGGTTCAGCTGGCGCTGGGCATTCATAATGGTCTGGAGTGAAATGAGAGGTTTGCCTAATGTAACAATGGCCCTTCTGCTTGCCTACTCTGACCTTTCTGTTGGAACTGAGAGGGAAAAATCGCAAGTAAAAGAACATATGTTCTTATTTATTTGAAAACTTAATTAAAACTGTTGTTGTATACTAAAATGTGCTTTTAAAAAAACTTTATTATGGAAAGTATCACATATGCCCCTGTATTTTCCCCATTGACACCTCCTAGCCTGCCCTTGTCCCCCATCCAAGGCTAAAATATGCTTTTGTAGTGAGGTAGCTTAACCCCACTTAGACTGTGGGAGTGATTTAACTATGATGGCAAGAATGGACAGAGGAGGAACAACTGGCAACTTCCCTCTTCCCCATTCTAGCTTGGGGATCCCTAAGTCCCTTCTTCACACTCCTAAAGAATAGTTTATTATGAAGGTTTAAGGAATAAAAACATATAAATCATTTAAAATAGTATCTGAACCTGGCTGGTGTAGCTCAGAGGCTGAGCGTTAACCTATGAATCAGGAGATCATGATTCAATTCCCGGTCAGGGCACATGTTCAGGTGGTGAGCTTGGTACCCAGTAGGGGGCTTGCAGGAGGCAGCCAATCAATGATTCTCTCTCATCATTGATGTCTCTATCTCTTTTACCTTCTCCCTTCCTCTCTAAAAAATAATATATGATGCCCTAGTCAGTTTGGCTCAGTGGATAGAGCATCGGCGTGTGGACTGAAGAGTCCCAGGTTCAATTCCAGTCAAGGGCACATTCCTAGGTTGCAGGCTTGAACCCCAATAGAGGGTGTGCAAGAGGCAGTCAATCAATGATTCCCTCTCATAATTAATGTTTCTATTTCTCTCTCTTCTCCCTTCCTCTCTGAAATCAATAAAAATATATTAAAAGTAATAATATATGATATAAAGTATGTACTCAATAAATGTTTTTATTTTTACTTACTCCTAATGTCTGTATAAGTAAGTATACACTTATGTCAAACCATGTGTCCTGATTTTTAGTTTGGTTCCAAAAGCATGGATGAAATATATGCGGGAAGATAGAGAATCCCAGAGTACTATCATCACGTCTGATAGCCAAATTTTCGCCTCCATGAGCATCTATTATCACAGTATAACCTAGCTTAATTTACACTGGTAAATACAAAAGATATTATATGAAATTGTCATCAATACTTTGTATTTTTCAATTCTAGGTACTATTTCATGGAGTGTCAGTATGCTTAATCACCCTGATTGTCAATAGAGTTATTTTGCCAATGGTAGTCAGTAAACTAGGTAAGTCTACTAATTAGTATTCTGAATGAAGAGAGAAGTATTCTAAATATGCTAAAGAATTGGTAAAAATCTCCGAGACTGGTTTGGCTCAGTGGATAGAGCATCGGCCTGCGGACTGGAAGGTCCCAGGTTCGATTCCGGCCAAGGGCATGTACCTGGGTTGCGGGCACATCCCCAGTGGGAGATGTGCAGGAGGCAGCTGGTCGATGTTTCTCTCTCATCGATGTTTCTAACTCTCTATCTCTCTCCCTTCCTCTCTGTAAAAAATCAATAAAATATTTTAAAAAAGAATTGGTAAAAATGAAGAAAGAAGCTACATAAATGCAAATCAACAATGTCTTATTGAAGCGGAAATTGGTCCTCTATGTAAAGTCATATGAAAAGTTTAGGCCAACAACCTTTTTATTTATTTTTTTTAAATTACTTACTTACATTAGTCCAGTTTAAGTAACAATACAGTAAGTTTATTCAGTTATCTGAAAAACTTGTGTTACGAGCCTTCTATATGCCAGGAACAATTTAACTGACAGTGATGCATTATGAAGACTGACCAGATTTCTGAGTTGATAGAGCTTACATTGGAGATAAGTAAACAGTCAGTAAAGAAGTCAAATAAGGTAATATCAAAGTAAACAAACCACATGTAAATACATTAAAAGAACACAACAGGTAAGTAGATTACTGAGGAAGCCATATGTTTAATTAATATATGATTAAAGTCTTAAAAAGGCCACTCTAGTTCTGTGGATAACTGATTGGGAAGAGGGGGGTGGTAAGGAGAATGGAAGTAGAAATAACAACTTTAGGAGGATGTCTGCATAATATAATGTGCCTGTTTTAAGCCCCCACTTTTTTAACAATTGAGAAAATGAGACTTAGAGAGTTGAAAGTCCTTGCCCAAGGTCATACTACTAGGGAATGGCAGTTAAGAACTAGAAACATATTGCCTTGATGCTTTCAACCCATTATATTCTTAACTGTTCTATTACCCTTTTTATGATACATGGAGTTTTCACTCTAATGACATATTTTTTTTTCAATCTGAAATTTCATCTTTATGGATAATACTACCCAATCTCCCTTCCTTCCTCATATTTGGAACAAAATCTTTTTCCCTTTCTTCCCCTCCCCCCTAAATTATGTGAGCCTTAGCATAATAAAATGGGAAGAACAGATTAAAGAGATAACATTTTTCAAAAAGTATTAGATGTTCTACTTAGTAGTTAGATAAACCTAAAATTCTTAGTGTGGAGCATCTGTTTATTTGCACTGAGAGCAGTGAACATTTGCTCATGAAACATTATTGCTTTCCAAACAAGCTTCTATGGCTCAAGAAAGGAATTTATATCTGATAGCAAGAGTATTTCAAACCTTAATGAGGTCTGGAGATATATATGGGGATAAATATAATCATACATATCATATATATGATTTTGCATATAGGTAGGATATATATGTACACATACTCTGTATATGTGTATGTATCTGTGTACATTATTTACATATATTTATGTATATACCTATACCTATATGGCATGTACAGATATAGATGATGTATATGCAGTTCAAGGGCCTGAGAACCAGGAAAGGAAATGATATAAATTGCAGTTCAAATCCGAAGGCAGGGGAGGATCAATTTCCCACCTTGAAGACCATCAGTCAGAGAGAGTGAATTTTATTTTGCTCAGCCTTTTGTTCTATTCAGGCCTCCAACAAACTGGATGAGGCCTGACCACATTGAGAAAGGCAATCTGCTTTACTCAGTCTGCCAATTTAATCCCCTGTCTCCTCATCTATTAAACTGGGAAAAGGGACTCACCTCAAAAGGTGATCAAGATGATAAAAACAAAACTTAATACGTGCAAAGAGCATATGATAAGCACTCAATAAATATTAGTTATTAGGAGGAGTATGAAAGTAGAAAATTTTGAAATTATTAGTGTTCCTATTATTAAACAATTTATGTTGTGTTTAATTAAAAAAACTATTTAGTACATACAGTAAGAACAAAAGGAAGCTTTAAAATTCAGATTAAAAGGGTGATGTTCCTTCTATTTATAAATGTGCTCTTTGTATCAAAGGTCTGCGTGATGTCACATCAACAAAATATAAGTCACTTTATTATACATTTCAACATTTTCAAGAAATAACCAAATCTGCAGCCTCCGCACTCAAATTTGATAAAGATCTTGCTAATGCAGATTGGAACATGGTTGAGAAAGCGATTATATTTCAAAACCCATATGCAGTAAGCAAGTAATATCTTTAACTTATCCCTTCAGAGTAGGTATGATTGTCCTTAAGTAGAAAAATGTTACTAATATTAATTCACAATTTTAATACTTACAATTGACAGAAATGTTGCATTGGTAACTCCTTATTCACCACAATAGTTAGGAAGGGATCTTAAGGAATTTTGTGATCACTGTGGGGCAAAGTAGAAGTGACAACCTCTTTAAGTACACACAAAATACATGTTGTAAATTCAAAACAAGGAGCAGTGTTGCCACATTCCCCAGAGGTTCAGATTCAGTAGGTCTGTGGAGGGATCTAAAAATGTTCATTTCTAACAATTCCCAGGTGATGCAGATGCTACTGGGAAAACATACTTTTAGAACCACTGGCTTAAAGTGTGATTATATATGCAGTCGCTTTTATAAACTGTTAACAATGCCAAGTAAAGATTAAGATATGCTATAACTCTTTCCTCCCCAAACTGGCAATCATTTTATGTCTAGATAACTGTGCAAGTAATCTTGAACATTTTTCTGTATCTAGAAAATTTTCTATAATTTTTCAAACCAAACTGGTGTATGACTTGCTCAAGGTTTATGCTAAACTATGTTAATATTCATGTATTCTTTATTTGGTTTTGATTTGTGTTTCACGTAGTTAAGCCAAGGAGAAACAACAGAACATCAAAAGGTGAACTGTCCAAACTGTAACACAGAAATAGACGAGACCCTTAACATTGAAGCAATGGAACTGGCCAACAGGCGTATTCTGTCAGCACAAATAGTTAGTACTCATTAAACACTTCTAAGGTATCTTAGACCTAACGTCGTACTGAGAACTTCTCCCTTGCTGAAGATAATCTTGATTATACTCACCTGCATAGCTTAATATATTGTTTACAAAGGCAAAGGGAAATTTGACATAGTCTTAGGAATCTGCTTGACTGCAAAAAAAATAAGAGGGAGGGAGGGAGGGAGAGAGGGAGGGTGGAGGGAGAGAGAGAGAGAGAGAGAGAGAGAGAGAGAGAGAAAGAGAGAGAGAGGGAATAATAATCCACTTAAATTAGCTTAAGTCAGCGGTTCTCAACCTGTGGGTCATGAACCCTTTGGCGGTCAAATGACCCTTTCACAGGGGTCGCCTAAGACCATCCTGCATATCAGATGTTTACATTACGATTCATAACAGTAGCAACATTACAGTTATGAAGTAGCAATGAAAATAATTGGGTCACAACATGAGGAACTGTATTTAAAGGACCAGAAGGTTGAGAACCACTGGCTTAAGTAAAAGGTGTTTTATTATGAGAAACTGGCAGTTTCACAGGTCCCAACGGCAGGAAACATAGCTGAGCTCAACCTTCAGATGTGTTATGCAGTCAGTTCCAATCACTGGCTATCTCTGAGTCCAAACAAGTTTTTCATGAGAGGATACCACCAAGTTCACTAACAACTGCAAGTATAAGGTATTATCTATATGTATAAAAGCTAAGTGCCCGGTATGACTGGAATGACCAGTCACTATGATGCACACTGCGGTGGCCAAATGGCCCGATCGAGGCCCCGATCACCCCCCCCCCAAACCTCCTGTGGTCCCTCCCCCAGCTGGCCTGGCTCCCATTAGCTCCCCCTCCCCTGATTTGGGGCAGGGCCAGCCAGCCAACCTCCTGCATCCTCTCCCCTTGGCCAGCCCAGCCCGATTGGCCCCCATTGGGGTGGGCCTGCTGGACCCCACCCATGCAAGAATTCGTGCACCGGGCCTCTAGTGTTTTTATATAAAATCTTGAGTAAAATTTAGAGAAATGTGTAACACAGCAGCATGCAGGATTCTGTGGGAAACTGCTAGCAGCCTAGTTACCATATGCTATTCAGGGCAGAATATTGACCAGTTGCCATGACTCATCCTCTAGAATTGTTCCTGGTGGACCTTCCACATTGCACATGGAACTGTCAGGCATCTCTCAGCTCTTCCAGTCATACAGGATTCCACGCATTCTACTTTCTCCGGCAGTGACCCTGGGAGACAAGCTGAGTCTGAAAGGCAGCTTTTCTGAGGACCTAAATACTTTCTTTAAGCAAGTGAGGGGGTGCCATGAAGGATGAACTTATGCCCGGATGGTGCCATGTTTCACCAGCAGGTTTTAGGAGATCATGTCTTTGAATCTCTTCCAGATTTTTAATTTATTTCAGGAAAATATAGGATTCAGGAACCCTTAAAGCAATGCAGGAGATTCCATTTTGAATCTCACTTTCATTGTTAATTTGATGTCTGACTCAGGACTTCCTCACGTCAGTCTTCATTCTTCCTATCTGTAAAAGAGAAAACTTAAGCTAACTAAATAACCTTGGATTCTTTCTGCTTGTGAAATCCTTTGTTTTTGCAATATACACTCCATGTACCCTCTTGATTTTTTGCCTTAAACACTTGTTTTCTACTATTATATCTTGGTGATTTAGTGCTATGTATGGTTTTTAACCAGGAAATACTATTTTTCCAAAGTAGGTTGGATCTCTCTGCTCTAGATTTTCATCTCACTTCACATCTTTTTAGTTCTTCTTCCTTCTAGATATATTTTCATGTTTATCTCAGTTTGTCAACTTGGTTCCTGCAATATCAATTCTAATGTTCACTGCTCTTAATCATAATATTTATTAGTCTATTAAGGTTTTCAAAGCTTTGGGAATGTCTATTTAAATCTCAGCCAGCCCTTGTTAACTGAGGCAATATCTTCTCTACTATTGTTCATTAGAAGAAGCAGCACAGCATGACAAAGCCTGGTATAGGAGGAGCAATATGCCATATGGGCTCAAGAGGAGACAGATTATATTCAGAGAAAACTGATTTGCTAATGTGATTTGGGGAAATCTACTTAACTCCCTGAGCCTCAGCATTCTCATCTATAAAATACATATTAGAATACCTTCCTCACAAACCTGTTGCAAGAATTAAATGTTTATTTAAAATACATATAGATCAGTAGCACAGTACTCTCCAGGTCCATCCATGCTGTTGCAAATGGTAAGAGTTCCTTCTCTTTTACAGCTGCATAGTAATCTATTGCATAAATATACCACAGTTTCTTTTATCCATTCATCTGCTGATGGGCACTTGGGCTGTTTCCAAACCTTAGCTATTATAACTCACACTGCTATGAACATAGGGGTGCATATATTCTTTCTGATTGATGCTTTAAGGTTTTTAGGATATATTGCCAGAAGTGGGGTCACTGGGTCAAATGGGAATTCCATATTTAATTTTTTGAAGAAACTCCGTACTGTTTTCCACAGTGACTGCACCCGTCTGCATTACCACCAGCAGTGCACTAGAGTTCCCTTTTCTCTACATCCTTGCCAACATTTATGGTTTGTTAATTTGTTGATGGTAGCCATTCTGACAGACAAGTGTGAGGTGGTACCTCATTTCGTTTTCATTTGCGTCTTTCGGATGCTTAGTGACTGAGCGGTTTTTCATATCACTTGGGCTTCTGTATGTCCCCTTTGGAGAAGTGGCTATTTAGGTCCTTTGCCCATTTACTAATTGGATAGTTTGTCTTTCTTTTGTTAAGTCGTATGAGTTCCTTATATATTTTGGATATTAACCTCTTATTGGATACATCATTGGCAAATGTGTTCTCCCAGGCAGTGGGCTCTCTTTTCACTTTGCTGATGGTTTCTTTTGCTTTGCAGAAGCTTTTTATTGTTATGCTAAGCAAAAATAAGCCAGTCAGAGAAAAGTATCACATGAACTCACTCATATGTGGAATCTAATGAACAACACAAACTGATGAACAAAATAGATCCAGAGAGATAGAACCATGAACAGATGATGAATTTCAGAGGAAAGGTGGATGTGGGGGGTTGGGGAGGAGAGATTACCTCGGGAATTTATACGGGCACGTGCATAGCCCATGGACACAAACAATAGTGTGGCAAAGGCTTGGGAGGGGCAGGTGCAGGAAGGAGGTGGGTCAATGGGGAAAACTGATAAACAACAACAAAAAACAAAGGGGACATTGGTAATACTTTTAACAATAAAGATAAATTTGAAAAGAGAGAGAGAGAGGGAGGGAGAGAGAGAGATCCATTAATTCAATAGTATAGTAGACAGGTCAATAAATGGCAGTTACTTTTAGGAATCAACCATTCTCTAAATTCTTCGTACATTTTGGTGTGAATGATATTTTAAGAATTAACATTTTTCTAGTAACTGCTTTATCATTTGTGCTGCTTTCATGAGTTCATATCATTTTCAGCTTCCTTATTTTTCCATAAGCTACAGTGTTAATCTTTGAGAATACAGAATGTATTTAAATCTCATATTACTTTATAAGTATTTTAATTAAATTTGAGGAGAAAAATGCTATGCTGTTGAATTCCCTCACCTTCAAATCCAGTTCTATTTCTTCCTAGCATGCACTAGAATCAAAACCATGTTTTAGATAGAATGTATTCGATGGAACCCAGGAATCTTTAGTTATAGCAAAGATTCCAATTTTGCAAGTTGGTCTACACAATTATTTTCAACACACTGAGGTCAGCAGCAATGTCAGACAGGGGTTTCCCCTGCACGAGCCTGAAGCAGAGTGGGCTCTCAATACATGGACTGAATGGATGAATGACTGTGTCCTGCAAGACAGTAGCAGTTCATTTAATGCGAATAATAGACTGGACACCACAGAGTTCTCTTGTCAAAATATGTGTATCAGGATCCTTCACTGTACAATTCCTCAGAGCTTTTAATAATCTAATGTCCATTACAAACTTTTTAGATAGGAATGCGGCTTTCAGTAGTTCCCATTATTATCTGGCCACAGAACTCCATTTATTTTGGCAAGTGTAATTAACATCTAGAAGGACCCTTGTTTCCTACAGAACCAGTTGGGTTCTACCCACTGCTCAGACCTAACTTTTACACTCATGAGCTATCCAGACCTATCTCATGGTCTGTACTCTGTAAGAGGGCTTCTTTTTATAAAGATACTAGAGACCCGGTGCACAAAAATTTGTGCACTCGGGAGAAGGGAGGGTCCCTCAGCCTGGCCTGTGCCCTCTCACAGTCTGGGACCCCTCGGGAGATAACGACCTGCTGGCTTAGGCCTGCTCCCAGGTGGCAGAGGGCAGGCCCAATCCCTAGGTGTAGCCCCTGGTCGGGCTCAGAGCAGGGCCGATTTGGGAGTTGGGGCGCCTTCCCCCTGTCATGCACAGAGCAGGGCGGATTGGGAGGTTGCAATGCCACCCTCAGTCACGCTCAGGTTAGGGCCGATTGGGGGGTTGGGGCACCGTCCCCTGTCACACTCAAGGCAGGGTCGATGGGGAGGTTGCAGCGCCACCCCCTGTCACGTACAGAGCAGGGCCCATCAGGGGTGTTGGGGCTCCATACCCTGTCATGCACAGAGCAGAGTCGATCAGGGGGTTGAGGAGCTCCCCCCTGTCACTCACAGAGTAGGGCCGATAGGGGAGTTGGGGCGCCGCCACTGTCACACTCAGGGCAGGGCAGATGGGGAGTTATGGCTTTACCCCGTCACACACAGAGCAGGGCCTGTAGGGGGCGGGGGGGTTGCCCCCCCCATCACACACAGAGCTGCAGGGTGATCAGGAGGTTGGGGCGCCGCACCCTGTCGCACACAGAGCAGGGCAGAATGGGTGGTTGGGGCACCACACCCTGTCACACACACAGAGCCGCAGGGCGATCAGGGGGGAGGGGTGCCTTCCCCTTG